TCCCTCCCTCCCTCTCTCTGTGTCTCATTTGCATGTCTTCCGCTTCCTCATCACAAGAAACGGTTCTTGTCAAAGCGAGAAGAGCAGAGGAATGTGGGTGAGAATGAGGCTCCGATCCGGCTGAACATCCCGCTGGTGAGTGAGATCTGCCTGATTCCTCAACTCTTCCTGCTCCCTGTTAGATGCTACCTGTCCTGCTTTCTTCCTGCTCAGCTGCACAGATGGACTTTGCTCTGATGTTTCTCTATGTTGTTCAAGATTTGAATCATTTTACTTAGTGAAAAATCACTGATTACATCCATAGTTAATTTGTATTTTCACTGGACTAATATTTGCTTATTGGTAATACTTTTTCCTGAACATGCTTCTGGGATCAATTTAAGCCAATAACACAATCAGGACCTGTAGTTATTAATCCACATTTTAACGCTCGCTTCTCTTCAGCCGCAATGGGTGAAACAATGCGAGTTGATTTATATGGTGAGAAGGAAGTGAAAGCAGGTTGAGCTCCACTGCTACATGCAGAGGATAATGTCAGGGGTAAATGGCGTGCACACAGAGCTTTTTGTTTAATGCGACCAGCAGAAAACTTCCCTCTGTACACAACAGCAGAAAGCCTCCATGCTGCGTGGGCGTGCTTATGCTCCTCAGCCAGCAAAAGATGATGCTCCATGCCAACTCCGTGCTTTTAAACCCTCCTTAGCAGAACAAATGGAAATCACTGTTTCACATGCAGAAATGTACCAGACACCTCCACACAATACAGGGAGAGCAGAACCTGGAGGTTTCTGTGACTTTCTGCTCCATTCTCCAGCTTACTTCATCTTTTCTTTTCTCTTCTTAACTTCGCCTCAAACTAAGACGCCTGCTCTTCTCCCCTAACTCATCGCCATAGTGATGCCGTTTAGATGTGGATGTGTTTCTGTTTCGGATACTGGAGGGTAGTGAACATGAGCAGCTCTCTGCGCAGATGAACAGGACTTTTCTGTCTTCATCACCTGCTTAGTTGCTTTCTTTCCTGTCTGACAATCTGCTTGAATAAATCCAGTGGCCCCTGGGGCCAAGAAAAAATTAAAACAAATGTCCTTATCTTACAGGTAATTAGAGACCCGACACTGGTTCATCACGACAGTTTCAGCGTTGCCATGGAGACTGGAAAGCCGGGACTGGCAAGTGTTCCAGTAAATATCAGCTCAGTTGGAGCACAGGCAGAGAAAAGACTGGACATCCAGTCGCCTCTAACGGCGGTTTACATCCAAGCAGTTCCAACTGTGCCTTTACAGCCTTACCCTCAACCTCCTGCAGAGGCCAGATTGACGAGCGGCCTCCACCTGACCATGCCAGCTCTCTATGCCAAGGAGACACTCCCCTTCCTGACTCTGCACCTTGCTGGTGACCCGCAGCCTAAGCTGGGATGCAATGGACCCGCTGCTGTTGCTCCGGCAGTCAAACCGAAGTCTGCAGGCAAACATGTGTGTCCTCACTGTGGACGGGATTGCATGAAGCCCAGTGTCCTGGAGAAGCACCTCCGCTGCCACACAGGAGAGCGACCATATCCCTGCACCACCTGTGGAGTATCTTTTAAGACCCAGAGCAACCTGTACAAACACAGACGAACTCAGGCACATGCCCGGCAGTCATCGGAGTCAGAGCAGAGCAACCCGGGCAGTCTAGACAGCATGTACAGCTCCAGAGAGACATGTTCCTCCAGTTTGTCTCTGGATGAGCAATGTGAGGAGCTGGGTGTCGAGGCAAAGTATACCGAGATGCAAAGTTCTGTCAGCGAACAGAAAGAGCCCAGCTCAACTGCTCCTAATCCAGAAACCAAACTCACAGCAGAGGGGGACAAAGGGAAGACAGAAAGTTTAAAACAGTCTTTGACCTTCAGCAGGCACCTCCAGCTTCAGAGACAGGAAGCCACCCTGTTCTCCAAACAGTGGGAAAGCTCTGCATCTAGAGGGAAATCCCAGAGTCACGAAAGCACAGACTCTGGCTTCAGCGAGAGCAGTGATCACTATCCCAGTCCCAACAGTGTCTTAGCTGAAAACAGTGTGGATGACCAATCTAAAGCCAGCAGGGAGAACGATGAGGAGGCCCAGGAAACCGAAGGCCAGGCTGGAAGGGATGACAAAGGCAAGGCGCGGGTGCAGGAGCAGAGGAAGCTGGAGGAGAGAATATCCAAGCTGATTTCAGAGAACACTGCAGTTGTGGAGGACAAAAAACTTGAAAATGTAAGGCCAAGAAAGACTGTATTGTCAAAGCAAGGAAGCATTGACCTTCCCATGCCGTACACCTACAAGGACTCCTTCCACTTTGACATGAGAGCGAGCCCAGCTCAGAATATTGGGCTCCAAAGACAAACCAAGTCTGGACTCTACAGTTCTGTCCCTACTCAGGGCTCCTCCTGCACCGAACATGGACCCTTAACACGCAGCAACTCCCTGCCTTTCAGCGTTTCCCTCCTGCAGCCAGAGACAAGCAGCCCGACCTTATCAAACCAGAGAGATTATGTAACCGAAAGTTCTGGCAAGATCAACCCAACAGGTTTACTTAAGAAGCCTGTGAACCAGCAATCATCTGTTCACCGCCCACTGGTCCGGCAGACAGCCGTAGACTGCAACCACGCAACAGACAGCCTCCTCACCACTTCATCTGTGGAGGAGGCGTGCACCAGCAGACCCGGCTGTGATGGAGATGGCAGCAACATAGTTGGAGAACCAAACAGTAGAAAGGTCCGGAAGAAGAAAGAACAGAAGTTTGCCTACAACAAGTGGTACATGTACGGGGGTGGAACATTTAAAAAGCTCTACAATACGGACAAAAGTGGAGATACTGCTGCTTTGAAAGGGAGGAAATGTTCAACCAACCTACTTCAGGAGGCAGTTCATGGTCAACAGAAACCGCTTTCAGTGGTCCATAGAGAAACTGCTACAAGATCCGATTCAGCGCCCCTCTCTGCCAATCTTTCCCTGGTCTCCTCTGTGGATCAAACAGCTAACCCTGCGAATGCTCCACTCAGGAGGCACCTGTCTGCCTCAGAGTTGCAATTACCTGCTGCCAGACCGGCACCTGGCCCCATAATGGAGTCTCTGAGCCAAAGAGAGGCAGGGAGATTATTAAATGTTCCTAAACATTCCCACTCCATGACAGAGCCCTGCGATGGCCAGATTCCATCTGACAGGAAAAAGCAAAAAACTGTGGAAGAAGACATTTCACCTCTGCTGATGGAGACTGACCCAACCACCCCCACTCTACACCCTGCATCTGTCACTGAAGGCACAGCTCCGCAGGAGGCAGATTTTACTTTCATCCCAGCCAAAAAGATCCCAAAGTCTCCCGAGTTAAAAGGATCCCTCCTTGTTTCTCAGATTAGCAATTCAGCAGCTGTTTCAGTGCCTATTGCTGCCAAGAGCAGCTTCCTCCCCAAGTACCAGCTGAAGTTACCAAATGCCCATGAACCCCACCCTATATCTCCATCACAACTAGGGGTTAAACCAAATGCAGTGGAGGGCTATACTCCCACTGCGTTATCTGCTCACTCCAACCAAACCCTGGTGACGGCTTCTGTGAACCTCTTCAGAAACCCGGTCCTTTTACCGTCCATACAAACTCCAGACCACCTTGCCTTACCTTGCACAGTCACAAGTCTGTGTCAAGTCAAAACATCACAACACAGCTACACAATGGCATCTGGTGTATCTGTCATGCAGAGGCAGTTTGCAGCAACCACTATAACCACAAGCTGCTTTCAGGACTATACAAGTGGTCTATGCAGCACTTTAATGCATTGTTCAAAAGCTGGAACTGACTCAATGCTTGAACAGTCACTGAGATCTCTCGCACCTGCAGCTCCAGTGCTGCATCCGCCCACCACATATAATCAGAAATCAGCTGCCACCATCACAGGCCTTCCTCATAATCTCTCCTACCAAGGCTCTAACCCTCCTCAGGGACATGTGCCAGACCCAGCAGAACCTGGAAACAAATCCAGTGTTGACCCAAATGGCCCAGTTGTACCCTGTGGGATTATGCCACTGGACCAACAAGCTCAAAATGTCTTTCATGTTCATACTGCAGACCTCCAGATCTGTCTTCAAATCATATCTGATGAGCAGATGGCTCTCATTGCTCCTCAAATTGAACGTCAGCCGTGTTCTGGTTTGTCACAGATCAGTGATATGGAAGTTATGACTCCAGATGGAGTCCGGAAAAATCTCTCAATCAAAACTTGCAATGTCTTAAGTATAAATGAACAACTACAGCATCAAACAGAGAGTGACAGACTGGAGTGTTTAGTTGGACTAAACCAACAGATTAATAGAGGAGATGCTTGTAAAACAGCATTGTTAACCAAATCCATCCCTCCTAAAGCACCAAACTCACACAGCAATGGCCATTCCATCATCGTCACACAGACTCGAAACTCTGCAGGTTGTATTATGGCAACCTCTGCTTCATCCAGAGGCTCAAAGTCAGCAGGGAACCAAACTTCAGAGACCAAACAGGTTCTCTCTGCAAACCCTTGTGCTGAGGAGCATTTCTTATCAAACACGGGACACAAAAGGACTGAAAACATCTCAAAAACACACCAAAGGAAAATCAGCGGGGGATCCCTTTCTACCAAAGCAGCAAACCAGAACAGTGGAAATCTGGAGAAAAGCCAACAGGACCCTGAACATCCCGGGACTTCCTGTGGTGCAGATGTGTTTAAAGGATGTGGTGGAGCAGCAATGGGCAAAGTCAGCAGGACAGACAGTTCAGAGTCCCTCAAACAGGCCACCAGTGCCACAGGCATGGATGGAGGAGTCGCTCCATTTTTCATGAACAGCTCCAGTGTCAGGAGACAACCCAACCAACAAACAGAACCTCCAGAATGTGTTGGCCAGAGTTCAACTAACCATCCAAACATGAAGCTGAAAGGAGTGGAGCCTTCTGACCAATCATCCTCCACAATAAAACTATGTCCACAACAGACACAGAATGATCAGAGGAAGAAATCCTCTAAAAAACCTGAGGAAATCCCCGTACATTCTGCTTCTGGTCACAGGGAAAGAACCGGAGACACCACAAGCTCCACTGCAGGTATATACACATTACTTTTTCATATTATTAGGCATATGGGTGTTATATATGAGTAAATACACATCATGCAGGAATCCATTTAGACAGACAATGGGGTACATTGTCAGTCCCTGTAGAGCGGCTGGGATCTATCCACCAGTTAATCCATGATAAGTTACCAGTCCATCATAGGGCAACTGTGGAAAGTACAGGTCAAAAAAACATGCACACATCTGGTCACGCCTGGGGACGATTCAGCGAGGCCATTTAACCTGATTTTTGACTGGAGGGGGAAGCTGCAGTTAGAACCATGCATGAACTCCAGGTTGGGTGGATGCAGTACTTTTTGCTGTGGTACCAACTGCTCCACCGCGTCGACCTGATAAAGAAACAGATAATCTCTTCTGAAGAGGAAGAGCAAAAACTTTTAGGTTTATAGGAAGTGTGGGATATAGACAATGGCTTCCTTTATGGAAAAACTGGTTATAAATAAGCCCCATCTCACATTGGATATCTGCTATTACCACAGTGTAAAACATTATTTATATATCCTTCACCAGAATGAAATGATGACTCACATGGTGCAGATCTTTACTGCAAGAAAACAAGAAATGTTGTCGAATTCTACTTACTATACCCTTTAAACTTTTGTACTTTTTATTTGGTTCCTCCAACGCCAGTGCTCTGCTCTGGAAGCTGTAGGCAGAGACCTCATTCTACCACCAGATGGCAGCAGATCCCACTGCTTGCAGAAGGGAATCATCCGGGGGTCTGTTTCACAAAGCTGCTTTCCTACACCCAAAACATGATTAGCCTTCATTTTCTACTCACCCCCATGCTGAACAACACTCTGGAGTACTTTTTTGATATCTCAAATGCATCTGGAGATCTGGGAGGCTTCTTGCTGTCTGCTGACATTCAAATAATGGAGGTCTATGGCGCCCGAGGCAGAAAGGTCCATAAAAGTCCACAAAAAACGTTTCAATATTCCTCCACACTGCTCGTCCAATGTATTCCAAGTTTCCTGAGTGGGTAGCATCCAGAATTTACTCGAAACGAAGTCATTTAGAATGTTTTTAGAGCATAAACAGTAGTGTATAGGATTTCCTGAAAGCGCGCACCTGCGCGATCCCGACGCTACGGAAGCCGGCAGACCAAACCAGCGCATTCAGCTCGGCAAAGAACTCATGCTCTTCCTCAACACTGAAGTCCTCAGACATTTTTCTTTCGTTGTTTCTTTCTTTGCACAGGTAAACGGCACATTTCTTCTTCCACGCTTGCATTATTGGAAGAGCAGACGCTGAATGCGCACTTTCATCTGGTTTGGTCTGCCGGCTTCCGTAGCGTCGTGATCGCGCATGTGCGCGCTTTCAGGAAATACTATACACTACTGTTTATGCTCTAAAAACATTCTAAATGACTTAGTTTCGAGTAAATTCTGGACGCTACCCACTCAGGACACTTGGAATACATTGGACGAGCAGTATGGAGGAATATTGACACGTTTTTTGTGGACTTTTATGGACCTTTCTGCCTCGGGCGCCATAGACCTCCATTATTTGAATGTCAGCAGACAGCAAGAAGCCTCCCAGATCTCCAGATGCATTTGAGATATCAAAAAAGTACTCCAGAGTGTTGTTCAGCATGGGGGTGAGTAGAAAATGAAGGCTAATCATGTTTTGGGTGTGCTATTCCTTTAAGCGTCTGACTGAACACCTTGTATCATTCCACACTGTCTTGTAAACATCTGGATGTTGATCTGCAAAGTTTTGGGAAATTCTCAAAAACTCTCAGTTTTAGTAAAAATGTCTATAAAAGCAAGGAGGCGATTCTCCTTGGAAATGATGGGTCCCAGTTAGAATCCGATGGTTTAACCAGGCCCGTTTCTGTTGTGGAAGGGATTACAGAGGAAGCCCTGAAGGATCAGGAACATAAGGAGACACCAGAGGGTGCAGACTGCAAAGCAGAGCTGAAACAAGAGGAGCTGCAGTCAGAGCATCGGGGAGGAGACGACCTGACCGAGAAGGACCAGAAGCCCCACAACGTTCCAGAGGTGGCTGGAGCGGACAGGACTAGGCCAAGGGTGAGATTAAAACATGTTTATAGAGGTTACGAGGGAACGCAAACACTGTCCAGTTCTAAAAACCTACAAACTGGATTTAAAAACAGTGGATTGACAATTATCCATTAAAAGGCGAAAAGGACGGTTTACAAACAAATAAGCAGCAATTAAGAACAGGGGTGTTGATGAACAGATTAATGGGGTCATTAGGATCTTCAGTCCAACAGCTGCAGAGAGGAAAGAAAGAACTTTGGTAGGGACACTGTTGGTCTGCAGTTGGATTGGTCTGACGTCATTGGTACCTTTGAAAAAATATTCATGCTCTTTTTTTATGCTTAATGTGAGCATCAGGGCACATGTTGTTTAAAGAGAACAGCAGCATTTCTTGCTACATTAATATAAATCTTATTAGCACTACACTCACTAGATGCTGTTTATCAATGTTTGAAGCATCACTGGCTCTGATCAATGTGGAATTAGGACTTTTTTCCACTTTGAAAAGGTTTGCATTCAAACCTACAAGCGACTAAGACAGAAAGTAAAAACGTTCCTATTTAACCAAACATAGTCTAAATATGTCTGTTATATGTGGATTTATCCTGCATTTTCTTTTGAAGAAATAGAATTTTGCAGAGGTAAACAGAGGTAAAACCCATTTTTTATCTAATCTGCTCTCTCTGTGTCATGCAAAATAATACATTAAAGGGAAGTTAAATAAATGTATTTACATTTTCACTGGAACTATAAGAGGAACTGACACTGAGCGTTTAAAATATTAACTTCATTATACAAGTTGTACATCTGGGCTGTAGTTACTCTGTCGCCCATTTCACGTATTTTATCTTGGGCTGAAACAATTAATCATATTAATCGATTGTTTAAATAATCGTCACCTAATTTAGTAATTTATTTATTGATTAATCGTTAACTGAAGTATAGGGCCACCAAAAGGTACCTTTAGCTGATAGAGCGACCCACTTAGAGCAGGAATTATACCAAGATTGTGAAAAATATGTAAACATTTAGCATTAAAGATAAAAAAAAAATGTTTTTGTTTGTCAATATTCTCCATTCAGAACTCCTCAAGAGTGGCTTAATTTAGTTAAAAATCGTCTTTAAGGAACCTTTGGCTAAAAATAATTAACAGATTAATCAATTTGCAGAATAATCATTAGTTTCAGCCCTAATTTTATGGTAACTTTCCAAACACATTTCTTCCATCATGCAGCACTGAAGGGCAGCTGCGTCACCCTAAGCATTATATCTGTGTTTCCTACAATCATATAATATTTCTTTTATAAAAGTGTGTTTTTAATAGTAAAGGATTAAATGTAATTACCTTTTATCCTATATTGTTACTGTCTGACTGTTTAAATAGCTCCTTATGTCTATTTTCTTTTTAGTGGCATCATCTACAAACACAACACTAAGAATTAGCCTAAGTTTATTCAAATATAAAATCACTTTTAACAGTATAAAAGACAATTTAACACTATCTTATCTGTAATGTAATAGTATCCAAAATAAACAGCCAGATTCCAGCATTATTTACCAAACGTTAATGTTTGTACTCATTTACTTATGGACCGTGTGGAAATCTATAAACATAGAATCAGTGTAAATAGAGTTGCTCTGTTTGTCTTTGTCATATTTTTAGAAGTAGAAGTCAATTAAATAGAACTATTTCTATCTTTAAGAAAAAAAAGTGGATATTTAGCATCCTTCTTGTGTTGTTATGTTTCTCAAAAGAGATAACAGCTGTTATTTACACCTGAGCTGCCTTCAAAAATAAATGTATTAAGGGTTTTAACCATTTAAAATCATTTATCTGACACGGCACCGCTCTTAGCCAATCATTCCATGCATTTATTTTTAGCTTCTTTGATTGGATATTGTGCTGCAGCCCAGAAGAAATGGGAAAAATAGGCGTCAGGACGCCGGACAGAGCAATGAACATCTGGACTGGCCTAAAGCCGGACATCTGGCCACTCTACTAATGACAGAAACATTATAATGCTAATATTTATATGGTGGTTTATTTTTTTCTATTCTTTTATTTCAGGAAGAAGAAATAAACGTTCGTGTGGATCCCCTGAAAATCGCACATCTGTCTGAACAGGACTTAGAGGCGCTTTGCCAGAGAAATCCACAAATATCTGAACATCAAACCACAAACATCTCCCAGGACTCTGACCTGGCTGCCAGCAGCACCCATACCCGCCGTCTAGACTGCCCACCGTTGGAAATCAACCATCTCTATCCACCACAGAAGAACTGGGACACAAGCACCGTCCTCTACGACCAGCAGATGCAGATCTCACATGCACCGAACATGAGCCATCGGGCTTCTTTATGTGCTGAGCCCAGCTTTCAGTCAACCAAAAGCACGATGAGTGTTTCAGCTCAGCAGGACTTTAACTGCAGGACAGCTGAGAGCTGCTCTGATGTTTTCACTGGAGACAGAACAAAAAACCCAAGTGTCTTACCAGATTTCAGAACGCTGTCCTCTACGTGTTTAAGTCAGGTTACCAAAGTCTGCAGGAGTTCAGATGAGATGACAGGAGAAATGTTGCAGGACGAGCAGATTCCTGTCGCTTCATCACAGCCGTTTCTGGAAGCTGGTAAGAAGCAAGTCTCTGCAGAAACACTCAAGGACTTCCCCGACCAGAACCGTGACTCTGGGAGAAACAAGTACCAGTCCATTCTCATGATCGGGTCCTTTCATGGCTACCAAGCCGCAGACTGCCTGCCCAGCGGCGTGAGGCCTGTGCCGAGCGTTCCAGACAATTCAGAAGACACCAGCAGCAGTGATGATGAGGGAAAGCTAATCATCGAGCTCTAGATGCACAGATGAAATATTTCACACTCTTATTGTTCGTGTGTATATTTTTCCCACTCAGGAGACAAAAATAAGAAGACTGGGCATAAAATTAGACAAACAGTACAAGTCGATGTGCACCTTTGGAGCTTGGACATGACCTTTGATCTTTACATACATTTCCTCTGACTGTGAAAGTTATCTTGTGGTGATACTGTAAAAAGTGAATGAAGCTGTTATTCCAAACTGGGTTTCATGGTAGTTCTGTGACTCCTTTCATGCATGAACTCTTCTGTTGTTGACTCAGAAAACAGGAAAACGTGGAGTCAAGGTTTTGTCCAGTGCAGTGGTCATTTCGTCAACCAGAATGGGATACAGAGATGT